CCTGGCTGCTGCTCGATCAGGTCTTGTATTTATTTGTTTATTTATTTGTTTGTTTGTTTGAGCCTCAGTCAGAAAAACTGGAGGGTTTTTTATACTTTTGGCCCAAGGAGGAAACAAATGGTGGACTTGGTGGTGGACTTTTTTAACAAACCCGCACTCAGGTGGGAGGAAACTGGCATCCCCACAGAAAACCCACACACACACACACACACACACAAGAACAAGCAAACTCCACATACTAATGTGCAAAGCAAAGATTAAACCCATGGCCTTCCTGCTGTCAGGTCTCAGTGAGAACCAATCATGCTGCTAAAAACATATTAGGAACACTGAAGCCCAACTTGATAGTGCTTCAAGTGTTTTTTTCTCCAGTGTGTATAATTTATGTAAAACTTTAACATGAACAAATCTTTTAAGGTGCCTAAGAACCAGATGTGAGGCTCACCTGAACATGGACATCCTGAAATACAGAACGTAGCATGGAGACCGCTGAACCAGGAGGCAACGTACGACATTTTGTCTGGAAAAAACAAACAAAATTAGTGTAACTGCACTTTCTGTGAAAATACATTACAAATGCTGAATGACTGAACACTTGCTAAAGATAGTTAAAAAATGCTGGCTAAAATTACTTGGAAGAATAAAAACAACAACAAATATTAAAGCTACTTCCGCTAGCTTTCTAGAAGTAGCGCTCTTTTGTTGGTTAGTTGGATGTACGTCATGATGTTTCCCTTGACAATGCCTCTCCTAATTTTCAGTCATTTTCCTCCAGAAACTCGAGGGACCAGAGCTTCACCTCTACATGAACTCAGTTTTACTGTGTGATTTCTTCAAACTGCAAAGCACCGAGTGTTAAAGACCGAGTTTCGACAGAGTCTTAATTGATCTTTGAACGATGACCGCTGACAAACTGCCAGAGAAGTCTGACCATGAGTCCGTCGTCTTCAGCTGGTCCTCCGTCTCTAGTGGAGACCTGGGTGTGGATGCCAGCGGGTTCCATCAAACCCAGTGACTCTCAGAGTCCGAAGTCTTCAGGAGACAGCCTGGATCTGACTCCTGATGCTGCTGCCTGTAGCTCCACCTCCTCTGTTCTGGTACACAAACCAGGAGGATGCAGGAGTTCCTGCAGCAGTCCTGCCTGAATCATTTGACGGGTGGGAGAGTGAAACACAGGCAACATTGATTCATCAAGTGTTTAGAGGATGTCTTTGGTCCAGAGTGTGCTGTTTAAACTGCAGTTCCATCTCTGACATGTTTGAACCCTTCCTGGATCTTCCTCTGGACAGAGCTCCCAGTGTGTCTTCTTCTCTGAAGCAGTTTGTCATGCCTGAAAAGCTGGAGGACTACAAGTGTCCCAAGTGCAAATTAAAAGTCTCAGCCTTGAAGGCAGTCACAGTAGACAGCCTGCCCAATGTGCTGACCCTGACTCTAGCTGTGTTTCCATTACAAATGAGGGCAAAACTTTGTAGATATTCTGTTAATGTCAAAAAAACACAGTTGCACAACTGCAGTGTTTCCATTAAGTAAGAAATGCTATTAAAGTCACGTGAATACGTTTGTTCTCATGATAAGTCATTACAAACATGGCAGCGATGGATGTAAACACATAGCATGTTGCTACCACGACACTAGCGCACATCATCAGAGGAGACGTCGGCGTCTTTTATCGAGGCTTTCCAGAGACAAGTCCCTACTTGGGAGCGGCTACGTATGCTGTGTTTTTGGGAAATTGTAGTCTGTGAGTTTACTATTTTCTTTTACAACTTCGTTGATTTCACTATTTCTACTTCCTGTTATCTTTTTCGTCTTTTTCACCAGTAGAAACAGCCGGTTGTTGATCACGTGACTCCTGTGATGTGAAAAAAGTGTTTCCATTGCAGTTTTGCGAAAAACACCAATTTCGATACGGCTGAAATACCACCTCATCCTAGTGCAAAAACATTTTGTCGAAAAAAGGGAAGTTTTTTCGAAATTGACGTGTTTCCATTGAGCAAATTTATTTTCGAAATTCTAATTTGAGCATTTTCATGGTCAATGGAAACGCAGCTAATGAAAAGATTTCATTCTAATGGAGATAAAGTCTCAAAGCGTGTGAACTTCCCTGAAAACATCAACATACGGCTGTTCACGTCAGAACCTGCAGGCGACCCACAAACCCACAACCTATAGGCCGTACTGGTCCACTCTGGGTCCACGAGTTCTGAAGGTCAATATTTCTGTTATGTGAAGGTGAGCAGCGGTCAGTGGTACAAGATGGACTCCTCTGTATCTGTGAGGAACATCAAGAATGTCCTGAAGAAACAGGCCTGCATTCTATTCTACATCAGATCTGAAGTCAGACAGTGGCACAGAAACAGAACCAATAAAGAAAAAGAAGGAGTGAGAGTGAAGAGCATCCTCTTGTGGTTTCCTACAAGCAGTTGATGACAGAGACCATGAACGAGATAAAACAGAAACACTGTCGCTTTAACACTGAGGACTCTGAATCTGACTTTCCACCTATACACAGGTTCTGCACAGACAACTACAGGAGCAGAGACCACTGACTCACAAACGTGGAGCTGCCTCTTTGTAAATACTCTAAATCTTGTAAATAATAATAAAATCAGTAAATTACAAAAAAAGAAAAGTGCTAGCTAGAATTACCATAAATTTAGCTAAAAACTAAAAGTAACAAAAGAATGGTTAAATACTAACAATAGCATGCTAGCTAGAATTAGCATAACTGTAGCTAAAAGCTAAAAGTAACAAAAGAATGGTTAAATACTAACATTAGCATGCTAGCTAGAATTAGCATAACTGTAGCTAAAAGCTAAAAGTTACAAAAGAATGGTTAAATACTAAAAGTAGCATGCTAGCTAGAATTAGCATAACTGTAGCTAAAAGCTAAAAGTTACAAAAGAATGGTTAAATACTAACAGTAGCATAAGAACAGAAGCAGAGTAGATTTGCTGATGCAGATTTAAAGGGAACATTTTTTCTGAAGGAACTGAAGAGATCTCAAATTATTTTTATGGAAGAATGTTTGTAAAAATAAAGTCAAATATTTAAGTACAAAACAAAGGTGTTAGCAACCAATTTCTAAAATGAGCTGAATATTTTTGATGTAATAATGATTATAAAACCAAAAGATAAGCAAAGTATTTAAATTGCAAAATAAAAAACAGAAGAGCAATCAAAGGCCTCTGCTGTCAAACGTAAGTTAACATTTAGATTGAGATTATTGACTTACCAACTGCTGGAGCCCACGTAACACTGGTGGTGTGACAACATAATGGTCCTTGAGGCGGTTTTCATAAAAGGCAATAAGAACATCCACTGTCACAGGACAAAGAGCACAATAAAGAAAGACCACCAGTTATATACATCACATTAACAAGGACTATGTAGCTGCTAAGAAACATTTCATCTACAATGTAAAGATAAACTTACTTTGACGTAATATTTCTGAAAACCTCACAGAAAATAGAGGAAACTGAATGGGCTGAAAAATCTGACCCAAACAGATTATAAAGATATCTACACAGCCCAGAATTTTCTGCACTCCTACAGACTCCACGTACACAACAAAATGAATTTAACGGCTAAAAAAGTGGATTTTGCAGATATGTCCTCTTAAAATTTTATATCAGTCAACCACGCATTTATTTTTGGCCATGTTTTTATTTTGTTACATTTTTGGTGCAGTAAATACATGATTTTTTACTGACAAAGAAAAGATCTAAAATTTTTAAGAAGTTGTCAGAATTTTTTCAAATGCTACCATAATCTCACAGTGTTGTGTTAGGGCAATAATCAGCCACATTGAAATGTACCAAATACAACTTTGAATCCCATATTTATCATGTCATAAGTTAATGCAGTCTTCTAAATAATACTATTTGTTTTACCTCATCCCTATTTTTGAGTATTATTAGCTCACAAGGTGGTGATATACTTTTATTTTTGTGAGACATACAGAAAGATGTTTATTCTCTCAGCTTGACATTAGTAAGTACCTCTCTCACCCCATCTGACAAAACTGTTTTGGTTTGGATGTAAAGAGCAAAAATAAAAAAACTTGCATGTTGCACAAGTACACATTTAGTATCAAATGTTCCAAGTGCATGCAGACTGCAGACACTGTGTCTCAAAATGTCTTTCTCCTCTTAGCTTTCCCCTATGGAGGACGTCTAGAGCTGCAGCAGCTAACTAACATGTCCAGGTCAGAATGAAATGTATACAGTATCTTTCTACTCATCCAGGACACTCACAGCTCTTCACACTACAACCTGTGTCCTCATTTATCCATTCACACAGCACTCTGTTAGCTCTCTACAAAGATAACATGTACAATCATCATTGGAGACTAATCAGTGCCAATCACATTCATACACTGATGGGACACATCAGAGGCATTAGGGCTGAAGTGTCTTGCTCAAGGACACAACAACTGAGACAGCTGGATGGGGGATCGAACCGGTGACCTTCTGGTTCCAGGACGACTCCCCTAACCACTCTGCCACAACCGCCCCACAAGAAAAAAACAACACAGAAACTGGCAAAGCGCACAAAAAAATAATCCAACTAGAAGCACTGGGAGAGTGCAAACCTTCACCAAGACCAGTTTCCTCCATCCTGTAAGAGTTAATGCGTAAAAGCAGAGATGGAAACACATTTGTTGAATAAGTTCTGACGTAGTGAACATTTAAGCAGCAGTATGCACGGGATTTCTTCTTGGTGGAGTCCAATGTGAAAAACAAAAGTCAGATTGGTCACCCGACGTTATTCATGGTCAAACTGGTGTGGGATTAAGCTCCTAAGTTTTCATCAGTCACATTTCACCATGTAAAATGTCTGTTTTATCTCCTTGTATGAGTTTGTAATGGTTTGACTCTTTATAAAGTGCTTCCTGGCTCCCCCCGTCTCCAAACTTTGAGGCCCAGCAGCTCTCTGTTTACAAGCCTAGTAGAGACAAACTGTTTTCATTGGTTGTTTCAGAAGTGTGGTGTGTTTGAGGAAATTAGAAAAATAGGTTTTATGGTGCAGTCACGCACTTCCTGGTCACAAAATGTTCTGTAAATGTGCATATTATGGYAAAAAATTATTCATCGTTAAATGTGTTTTAACATTACTTTTATAAAGTTTGAAGTCTGTGCTGTCCAATCCAGCTCACTGTTTTTTACAGAAGCCCTGTGAAAGCATCACAGCTTTGCTGATCTCTGAGTGTTAGAAGAAAAAAAAATCCTGTATCTGCATCGTGATCCAGAACATCACCAAAATTTAAAGTTGTGTTCCTTGGCCCAGTACCACATGTGGTAAAAATGTCCTGACAATCAGTCCACAAGTGTTTGAGTAATGTTGTCCACAGACAGAACAACAGAACAACAGACAGACAGACATTCGCGACCGAAAACATTACCTCCTCGCCCTTGGCAGAGGTAATAATAGAACTGAAAGTCTCAGTTGGTAGAGCTGATGCCTCTCAGCAAGAAGGTTGCCGGATCAAATCCCAGCCCTGGACCTTTCTGGGTAGTTTGCATGTTCTCTGATAAATGTTAGGTAGGCTACTTGGAAAAAAGTTAGCCTTAAAAGGTTTTTGGATAAATTTTGAAGGTTGGAAAATGAAGGTGAAACAAGGACTAAATTATTTTACCTACAACAGCTCTGTGGTGAATGTTCCTCCTAAATTGATCAAATCCCTCTTTTCCTATCATCTCTTGTAGTTTCTATTCTATACTAGAATGAATGTGGGTTTTTCTGTTCAGTGAGATTTCATTAACAAATGGAAATCCCTCCAGATGATCTGGTGCTGTCTCAGAGTGGAACCATTTCTATTTTTACTTTTGGAAAAGTTTATTTCACAGGTTCATTGTGTTACTTAGTTTGTCTGGGTTTTTGTTTTTGGATTTTATCAAAAGATACAGAGAAATGTTGAGACTAAAAAAGAGCCGACTTTTATCATTTTTAAACAACCTTTATTTGGACCAAAACCGTGTCTTTGTAAAGGCTGTCTGCTTTTCTTTCTATTCTTCATTAAAAAAAGAACCATTGTAACTTTCTGTCTTCCTTTGGTTCCCATTGAAAAAAGCTTTTATCTGCCACCTGCTTAACTCCAGAAATGTAACGTCACATTAAAGTTAGAGTTTTCATTTTCTCTTTCTTCTGGTGATGACATTTAGAGCATGCCGTAACTCAGATACAGCTGCTCCCGACAGTTCAGTGGTGGCTGGTGCGTTGTTCAGATTTACACGACACTTCATATTTGTACCCACATTTAGCCAGTGGTGGGGGCTCATTTTCACCTGTTAAGCACAATACAAGAGTGAATGGATGAATTACCTTCTCTCTCTGTAAGCTCTGCGTAGTTCTCCTGTAAAACCTCAGAGAGTAGCTGGACCCCTCGGGCTCGAGTGTGAGGCTGAGAACTGGTCAGGCTTCCTCTACAAGAGAAGAAACATCATGTTCACAACAACTGAGGGTCAAAACTCAACCTGGAACGGACCAAAAACACCGAGGTAGAAGTACAAGAAGGCATGGCTTACAAAGTATTTAACCCCTTAGCTGTCTTTCTGTTCTGTTACCTTACAGCTTTGAAATTAAATTCATTTTGATTAAAGAAAACATGAAAACCAAGGAACTCTTCACAAAAGTAAGAAAAATATGTGAAAAAATACAAATCAGAGCTGGGTTTCAAACAAAGCTATCTCAGAAGCCTGCATGTCCCACAAACTGCCAATACATTGAGTTATTGGAAAGGAGAAATGATGCCACCACAGGAAACCTTGCAAGAGAGGATCATCCACAAGAACCTCCACAGCAGTTACCTGTGCAGGGCATTAATCAGAGAAACATCCGTGTGGCCAAATGTAACCTGGATGGAGCTGAAGATGGGAGGACCTGTCCATAAGACAACTAGAAGCTGCAGACTTTTATGGAGGAGAATCAGGAAAACACAACAAACAAAATGCTTCCAAAAGGCAGACATTTAGAATTTAAAGAAGCAAAAGTAAAGAGGGTTTGTTCCAGAGTCGGGGTCCTGGTCACCCCAATGCTTTAGCCTTGACCCTGGGATATACAATAAAAGTTGGTTTGACCTCAGGGATCTCCCATACAGTTAGACTTAAAAGTTCATGGCCCGTATTTATCAAACTTCTTAGAATTCCTCTGAAGAAATGACTTAAGTGTGAAATCACTCTGAGATAAGAGCTGAGTCCAACAGTCTGTTATGAAGCGTGTCAGTCTGACTTTAAGGGATGTGTCAGAGTNCAGGTTCACACAGCAGCTAGCAGGCTGCATGAACCAACTGACATTAACAGTATTCAAGCCCCACATGGGAGAAGCGTCAGAACTAGCTCTGTATCACCGCAGACAGGATGTTGTGGTGCTAACCTTAGCCTGGTAACATTCAGCGTGTAGCGAATCCTAAAGCGCTAATCAACCGCCTCAGCGGCGCTGATTTGACACAAACCCTCCATTAATGTGTCCAACAAAATGTGATGAAGACCCACTCTACCTGCCGCCACTTCTTTTGCCTTGCTGTCCTGTAGACCGGAGACATATTCCTCCACCAGAGACAGTAGCAGAGGACTCTGTGCGGCCATCGTACTTGTTGCTCCGCACACGCTCAGTGCGCATGCGCAACAAAGTTTGTAGGCGAAAAAAAACCATTTGAACTTTTTGACAGTGGCGTCACTAGGCCTATTTTAGGGGTGCTGGAGCCCCACTAAAATGTTTTAAAGCCCCCCCTAAAGTGTATTTTGATGTAAAAAAAAAAGTATTTTTTTTTACAAAAATTCAATATGATGTGGTCAGAATAAACAACCATACATACATACATACATACATACATACATACATACATAC